TTTACCAGAATACGTTTTGACGCAAGAAATGCTGTGTAGGGTGTGTTGAGGATTATAGCTGCTGCAATTGTTTCTGTTCATCTTTTAAACTTGTGATCACATTTCTGTCTGTAGTACTCTACTGGATAGCCAGCCTGGTCTCAGAGCATTTCGTATTATTCTGTATGTACATTTTAGAACTCAATTTAGCATGATATGTTACATTTGGTATGGTGACAGATGGTTACTTAAGGCAAAAATGAAAGGAGGGTGGTTGGTTGGTTGGTGTGGATGGGTAGGCTTATAACACAAACGTCTAGCAACCCATAGGTTGCAAGTTCAAACCTCATCAGGGACAACTTTAGCATGTTAGCAACTTTTTTATTACCTAATACTTTTTAGCTACTTTGCAATTACTTAGCATGTTAGCCAACCCTTCACCTAACCTTAACCCTTTTCCTAACCTTTACCCTTTAACCTAACTCCTAAACTTAACCTTAACCCTTTAACCTAATTTTACCCTTAGCCTAGGTTGCAGCGCATAGCTGCTGTATGTGTGACTGGTATGTGTGCTAAAATACCAACAGAGCAGAGGGCGGTAAAGATTCAAAGGAAACAGAACATTGGAGAAAGGCTTTATCAGTATGACTGAATCTATAAAACAGACTTAACACACACACCTCCAGTCCAAAGAACAGGGCCCGTATCTCTAAAGAATTTTTGTGCAAAAAGTGGCTCCTAGCGGCCAAATTCTAAGAAAATTCTCAGAGGCATGACGTTTTCTTAGAATTTCCCCTAAAAGTGACACGAAAATCCCAGTTAATATAAAAGCTATTCCTCAAGAGTCCTAGCGCTTAAAAGGGCTCCTAAGGCGAGATCTGCTTAGAGCAGGGAAGAGGACTTTTAGTGGCTTAGGAGTTACCCTAAGCAGCTGCACAAAATGGCCAACAGAGGAGGCAGGAGAGATGTCCTGCAAACACTGGATGACAGGGAATTATTGAGACGCTACAGATTGGATCGTGCAGGAATCATGTTTGTGGTGGATCTCCTTAGAGATGCAATTACTTCACCAACTCGACGCCACAACGCTATTACACCGGAGAAGAAAGTAATCACAACCCTGAGGTATTTGGCAACAGGGAAAATGCAACAATGCAGCAGTGATGACTTGGGTCTGTCCCAATCCTCCGTCAGCAGAGTCATCACCCAAACACTGACAGCTTTGTCACAACCTAATATTGTGACACAATTTGTTTCATTCCCGCTGGATGCCCGCACTTTACACACACATAAAAGGGCATTTATGGACATTGCAGGATTCCCTGGCGTTGTGGGTGTAATTGATGGAACACATGTGAGAATAATTGCGCCATCAGAGTACGAGGCTGTCTTTGTTAACAGGAAGAATTTCCACAGCATCAATGTGCAAATAGTGTTCAATGCGGCCTGGAAGATTTTGGACATTGTGGCTAAATGGCCAGGCTCCACACATGATGCGAGAATGCTCTCCGAGAGTGGCATCAGACAGCTTTTTGAGAGACGCTATGTGCCAGCTAATTGCCACTTGTTAGGGGACAGTGGCTACCCATGCAAACCATGGCTCCTTACACCTTACCTCCAGCCACGCCAAGGGCCCCAACTAAACTATAACAGGTAAGCCAAACAATACAAAAATCATGGAAATGAAATGCAAGCAATATGTTAGAGCATCCAAGTAGTGCAATATTTCCATCAAATAATTAAAGGTCTGTATTCTATTGTAGGGCCCACAAGACAACAAGAGCGGTGGTGGAGCGTGGCATAGGCCAGCTTAAGAGGCGCTTTCATGTTCTCCACGGAGAGGTGCGGCTGAGGCCTGAAAAAGTCAGCAAAGTCATCATAGCCTGTGCAATATTACACAATATTTGCAAGGTTAGACAGATTGCAGAACCTCTGGAGGATGGCGATGAGGATGAGGATGGAGACAACGATGAGGATGGTGGTGAAGAAGATATTCACATTCCACAGGGGAACCGAGCCCAGAGTGGACTGCCTTACAGGGCAAACTTCACAAATTTACATTTCAGGCAAGCTGTAGCCCCATGTCATTTGAGAACTTGTGATGGTATTAAGAACTACCACAGTTTTACTGCACATCACCTGCAACTGTTAAATGCAAGACACAGAACACAATCTCTAAATGGTTTATTTTTTAGGTGTTCAATTATAAGGCGGTAGTACTCCTCCTGAAGGGAAAGGACTTTTTTGTTGTTGTTCAAACACATCAATTGTGAGTTGCAATCTTCTCTCCTGCAGGGATGCTGACGGAGCAGGTGCTGCGGATGGGAATGGTGTTTGATCCGCCGGGCTATCCTGAGTAGCAGCTGCAGATGGTTCAGGCGGCAAACTTGATGGGCCCGGTTCTTGTGATGGCTCCATGCTACAGAAATACATAGGCCTAGTTTAATTATTGTTTTGATTAAATTAATTTAATACAATGAGCATGGATAACACATGAAATGGCTTCTGCAATGAATAAACACTGTTGATATGAATAACCCTGTGTCCTACCTTTGCTGCATTTCAAGGGCCTGCATCATTGACGTGTCAATGCCTGTTGGCAGCCCGGTGACACTGACCTCAGAGTGTCCCAGGACTTGAAAGACAGTGTCGGCCACCTGGGACAGCCGCTTTGCAGGTGGTCCACCCCCTAGAAAGAAACGGTCAATGAACACAGTACTTAGGCATGTAAATTAACTTTGCCAGCAGGAGCAAATTGCCAGATTATGTGGTAGGCCATAGTATTTTGCTCACCTGTGAGTGAGGATTCCCGCTTGTGTGCTGCAATCTCATCTTTTGCCTTGGACTGCAGCACATACCACCTTTTCTCACAATCGTCGCCTGTCCGCACCACCAGTGGAAAAGAGGCATTGATTGTTTGGGATATTGTGTCCCAGGCGCGCCTCTTGCCTTGGCTAGTGACAGTTGGGCCAAATTTTCCTCGTAACATACCTTTATGTTCGTTCACCAACTGGGCCAGCAACAAACCTTGCTCCTCAGTCCAGTTCGGCTTGCGATTCCTTTTTTTCTCCATTTTCTGTGTTTGTAAGATATTTGTTAACAAGCCTTCATAAATAGACCAGCCAGCAATCACAGACATTGTTAAAAGCTGAGCTGTGTTACCCTTGTTAAGTTCACACTGAGTTGTAACGTTGCAATTTCTACTTCATTAAGGACAGCCCCTTGAGATAGGCCATCTTGTTTTCAATGGGGTCCATATGGAAGTGAAAGTACAAAATATGCCAGCTAGGATATTAATATGAGCAAATGAGACACAAATCATTATTTGAACAGGGTGTAATGAGCTTAAGTTTTCACATATTTTAGATTCTAATGTTAGGCTATAACCCCTACAGCTTACTATTCATTTTCCAGATATTTTCTTGAATGTGAAATATTATTTACAATTATAGTCTGCATAAGATTAGAGTGTATAATTATGTTTATTGATTTGAGGGTACATCCTTTGCTCATTATCACCAAAAGTTCATTTTCATCAAACTTGTAGGATCAACCAATCACGGCTTTTGAAATGATGACTCATACCTAGCAACGGGGTCAACCACACCTCCTCACTAAGATAGGATTTTTCATCCATTCCTGGCTCAGAGTTCACTGAAAATGTTCTGGAATCACTTCTAAGCTAAAACTCCTGGCAAGGAATTTTTAGGTTAAGTTAGGAGCTCTCTGAGAGGATTCTCAGAATCTTTAAGGATACGGGCCCAGGTCTCTGCCTGTAGCTGTACAGCTGACAGATGTGGCATTACTTTTAGGTAAGTCTTTACATCAGGGTTATAGGTAAGTCTGTAAGTAAGTATACATCAGGGTTATAGGTAAGTCTGTAAGTAAGTATACATTAGGGTTATAAGTCCAACTGCTCCTTTTAGTCCACATACATCATGTCATTTACAGCAGCCATGAACTCTTTTGTAAACCCACAACCACAGTTCTGTATGTGTTATAAAAAAGGGATGGACACTGCTCCTTGAGTCAGTTTTGTCACTGAGGTGTTTGTGCACTGGGTTGTCTTACAATACAAGATGGCGCCAACATATATAGCAGCTCTGCTTCTAGCTCCTAAGCAACTTTTCAGTATTTGTTTGCTTTTGTGTTATTACAAGACAAGGATTTAGCTACACCCGCAATAACATCTGCTAAATATGTGTATGTGACCAATAACATTTGTTTTGATAAAATTTGATTTGATCTTGGACAAGATACCACCATTTAAGAGAGCCTCAACAATTGAACACATCAACCAAGAAGATATCAATACATTTTCTCCTTTGAACCTTGGCAACTCAAGCAATTCCTTCTCACAGTTCTCAGACAGTCTGCAGGACTACAATCAGTTGGATAAACACGCCCACGGTGAGTTTTGAACTGGGGCCTCTTGTGATGCAACACTGTCACTGACATGAAACCACTTGCTATGTACTTCGGCAATTACTTCATGTGGTATCATCATAACCCTGTACACTCCCCCAATTATCCAAAAATCGGAAAAAATACAAATGCTTTGACAAACCATAATGTATTGTTGTTGTATTGCTTTAATGTTGTTTAGCCACAAATAGAGATACAATTAGGTTTTTGTGAAGTCTTTGATTTTCACATGGAAAGGAAGGTGAAGCTTCATAGAACATTTGATTTGATCCAGGCTCTATCAGTACACTGAAGCACAATTACAATGATAGCTGTACTGATATAGAAAATGACCATACATTTAGTATCAATACCTTTTAGAAATTATCGCTCATATCGTTTTATTTTCAGCAAACTAAAAATCACCCCATTAAAAGCACAGATTTAGAATTACAAAATGTATTTGAATAAACATGCTTCAGCGAAAAGGAATATCAGTACAGTTATAGTACCTTAAGTACGTAACAAGCAAAAGAGTAAAAGCAATAGCTGCAGATATATACTGGTATATAGTGGTCATACACCCTTCTCCTTCTGGAAGTCTGACACTGAGGGTGTCATTTGGCCCTAACTCCCCCTGTGGTCCCCAGCAGGATGAGGGGAGAGTGGGGGTGTGGGGCGTCGATTCCCAGGAGCTGGCGTGTGGACGACTCCCAGTCCCAGCCAAACTCCAGTCTGCTGCACACACACGGATACTCCCTGTCTGCCCAACACACCCAGTCCACCGCCCTCCTCACCGCCTCCCAGCGCTCACCCCTGGGAGAACACAAACAGTAAACACATTTAGTAAAGTACACATATACAGAGAAAAGCATCAAAGAAAACTAAACATAGACACCCTTATCCCAAGAAAAACACATGAAACATGAACTTTCTCAAGTTCTAATTTAGACTGCAGACCAGAGAGACCTAGAGCCATCTATATATGGTGGATCAGATAGATGTACCTAGGCTGAGGAGCGTGGTCCAGGTCCAGACGGAACAGGCTGAGCAGCAGCTTCCCCTCCTCCAGCCTCCTCACCCTCATCAGCTGCAGCACCAGCAGACTGGCCACCAGCCTCAGGATGTCAGCATGAGCCCTCACACCTGACACACACATGAATGACACGCAATCACGCAATATTTTTTACATTTTCCTTACTGCTCAAAAAAAGCCCAGAGAACCCCAAACAAACAGTCTTCATAGGCTCCCAGACAAACAGTTCTCTAGTATCCGTCTGTAGCGCAGCGTACTGTACTGTAGTGTAGTGTAGTGTAGTGTAGTGTAGTGCACTGTAGTGTAGTGCAGTGTACTGTAGCGTAGTGTAGTGTAGCCTACCTAAAGAGCTTATGCCCTTCTTCTTCAGGAAGACGTTCGCAAAGTATGTTACATCCACATTGAGGAGGGATCCCAGGCTGCCAGAACACTCCCAGAAACCTTCCTGGAACAAACAAACAAAACAAAACAATTCCCCTCTATACAATGACGGCTTTTTGGCACACAATGGCTGCCATTGGTGCCACACATTGGAAGTGGATGAAGTGAGTTTCCTTCCCCATATCATGTAAACTCAGCAAAAAAAGAAATGTCCTCTCACTGTCAACTACATTTATTTTCAGCAAACTTAAGATGTGTAAATATTTGTATGAACATAACAAGATTCAACAACTGACATAAACTTAACAAGCTCCACAGACATGTGACTAACAGAAATTGAATAATGTGTCCCTGAACAAAGGGGGGGGGGGGGGGGTCAAAATCAAAAGTAACAGTCAGTATCTGGTGTGGCCACCAGCTGCGTTAAGTACTGCAGTGCATCTCCTCCTCATGGACTGCACCAGATTTGCCAGTTCTTGCTGTGAGATGTTACCCCACTCTTCCACCAAGGCACCTGCAAGTTCCCAGACATTTCTGGGGGGGAATGGCCCTAGCCCTCACCCTCCGATCCAACAGATCAAAGACGTGCTCAATGGGATTGAGATCCGGGCTCTTCGCTGGCCAGAACACTGACATTCCTGTCTTGCAGGAAGTCATGCACAGAACGAGCAGTATGGCTGGTGGCATTGTCATGCTGGAGGGTCATGTCAGGATGAGCCTGCAGGAAGGGTACCACATGAGGGAGGAGAATGTCTTCCCTGTAACGCACAGCGTTGAGATTGCCTGCAATGACAACAAGCTCAGTCCGATGATGCTGTGACACACCACCCCAGACTATGACGGACCCTCCACCTCCAAATCGATCCCGCTCCAGAGTACAGGCCTTGGTGTAAGGCTCATTCCTTTGACGATAAACGCGAATCCGACCATCACCCCTGGTGAGACAAAACCGCGACTCGTCAGTGAAGAGCACTTTTTGCCAGTCCTGTCTGGTCCAGCGACAGTGGGGTTGTGCCCATAGGCGACGTTGTTGCCGGTGATGTCTGGTGAGGACCTGCCTTACAACAGGCCTACAAGCCCTCAGTCCAGCCTCTCTCAGCCTATTGCGGACAATCTGAGCACTGATGGAGGGATTGTGCGTTCCTGGTGTAACTCGGGCAGTTGTTGTTGCCATCCTGTACCTGTCCCGCAGGTGTGATGTTCGGATGTACCGATCCTGTGCAGGTGTTGTTACACGTGGTCTGCCATTGCGAGGACGATCAGCTGTCCGTTCTGTCTCCCTGTAGTGCTGTCTTAGGCGTCTCACAGTACAGACATTTGAATTTATTGCCCTGGCCACATCTGCAGTCCTCGTGCCTCCTTGCAGAATGCCTAAGGCACGTTCACGCAGATGAGCAGGGACCCTGGGCATCTTTCTTTTGGTGTTTTTCAGAGTCAGTAGAAAGGCCTCTTTAGTGTCCTAAGTTTTCATAACTGTGACCTTAATTGCCTACCGTCTGTAAGCTGTTAGTGTCTTAACGACCGTTCCACAGGTGCATGTTCATTAATTGTTCATGGTTAATTGAACAAGTATGGGAAACAGTGTTTAAACCCTTTACAATGAAGATCTGTGAAGTTATTTGGATTTTTACAAATAATCTTTGAAAGACAGGGTCCTGAAAAAGGGACGTTTCTTTTTTTGCTGAGTTTACAATGCTTAGAGTATGTGGAAATATCTTTCTGAATTCATTCTATGTTCCTGCACTGTGTTATTAATAAACAATAGAATGGATATACGTAGATATGATTAGTTAACTGTTTTCTATCACTAATAGAGTATTTTATTTGCACATGAGGCTGGCCTTGAGAAAAGGGAATGGTTCCTGTACTTACTGAGTGCTGGAGGGCAAAAATCTCTGGCCATTTCACTACATCAAGAATATTCTTCCTGAATTCAAAACCACCCCTCCTGAAATCAAAAACCACCTCATTAGGATACTACAGAGATACACGTAACAATAAACCTCTCCAATATAGTACATACACAGACAGACAGACACACATCATACCTTTCACTATCTCCTTCACATTTCAGTAAGTCCTTTCTTACCACCAGATGTTTTTGTGGTTGTGGTTTTATTCGCTGTAGTAACGGTAGTAGTTGATGTGGTCGTCTTTTTAGTTGTTGTGTCCCAAGAGGGCTACCGAAGAGAGAGGATTCACGTGGCCCTGCTGCCTCAGAACTGGACCTTGTAGAACCATGTAAGGCCACTAAAGGACGGGTCAGATGAGCGCCATGAGCGGTGGGTAAAAGTGAGATACCAGAGCCTTGAAGTAGTCCGCCAGTAGGTGTTGCCCCAAAACTAAACCCCATTGGTGGGGCTGAGCCTACACGTGGAGGGGGTGGGGGGGCGGCCTTCGCTCCCTCAATAGAGCCAAATGAGATACCAGGGGCTGCTAAACCTGTAGTCATAGAACTGGTTGAAGGGGCGCCAAACAGGGAGCCTTGAGGTGGTCTGCCTGCAGTTGATGCCCCAAAATGTAACATTGCTGATGGTGCAAGGTTAAGGGGAGGTAGAGGCCACTTTCCACCACCAGAAATCACCACTCCTTCTGAAGAAGCCCCAAATAAACCACCAGAGGGCGCCAAACCTGAAATTAAACTTGTACTGGCTGTGGCCTCGAACAAAGAACCTTGAGGTCGGCTGCTTTGAGACCCTGCCCACCCGCCCCTGAAACCAAACGCTGAAGAGGGCACAGAGGCAGGGAGAACAGGAGGCTGCTGGCAGTGGTCCAACTCCACCAGTCCATATTCCATATCCTCAGGTAAGCCATGATACATGTCCACCACATTGCTAGTCTTACACATTGCCACTTCCACAGGATAGGGCTCTGGGGGTTTGGATAGTGGCATGTCCCCACCGGCTTGCAGTCTCTGGAACGTAGCGAAATGGGAGATACCACTAAAAGGTATCGGAGGGGCCTCCCTTGTGCAACTCATTGCTTGACGCTCATTTGAGACAGGAGCAGAGGGAGGATTCAGAGAATCTGAAACTGCGGCGGAGAGAGACTGCGGCTGAGGAGGAAGAGCATCAGACACAAGGAGAGACTTACGCTGTGAATGAAGAACGGATGGAAGAGGAGGAGGAGAGGAATAACAAGGAGAAGGATGAGGAAGATGAGGAGGAGCATCAGCAACAGAGAGAGACTCCTTCCGGGAGAGAGGCATTCCCATTTTCCACCTCTGGGGCTCTACAGGGTCAAAGGCCGGATCGGCACAAACCTTCCTGTGTCCGTCCGCCTGTCTACCGAGCGCCCGCCTCACTCTCTTTCGTTGAGACTGGAGGGTCTCCAGCATATCCAGTTGTTTGGAAGCAGCGGATGGGGTGACTAGGCTGACTGACATCAATTGGGTACATAAATAGGGGTGAGACAGAACCTCACTATGCATGAATACTGAGCCACCAAGTGGGTCTTCAGGGTGCTGTAAAACAAAGACAACAGTTCAGTGATAAAACATTTTTACAGGGACCATTTTTCTTTACAGGTAACAGCAAGAAAGAGGCAGATATATGCTCCTCTTCGTCCCCCATACCCTCCTCCAGGAAGGTTTTCAAGCATGATTTTACCATTGACCAATTCTCCTTCTCCACCCCTCCCTCCTCCTCCTCGTAGACTTTGAGGAAAACACGCCCTGGCTCGCTATCTATCGAGTCTGACATGGAGGCCATCCCACTTCCCAGATCCTCCTCCTCATCTCTCTGCCAGCTGAGGTAAGGTAAGAAGTCGACGTCCTCATCTGAGATGAGCTTGGGAACGTCTGTGAAGCCCACGTCAGGGTGCTCTGAGTCCTGGGAGAGAGAACACATCAGAACATTGTCTTTTTCAACATTTGTATTGAGTATTGTTGATGTGTGTGTGTGGCAGACGTACCCTCTCCTCGATGGCCACAAAGCTGGTGAACTGAGACAGGATGGAGAACTCTTTGCTCAGCTCAATGATGAAGGACTTCAGCTCTGCTTTCTTCCCCTGAGAGAATTTATACTAGATATGTAACAAAACATTCCACACACACAAACAGCACAGGTAGTGTACACACTCCATACAAAATCTAATATATTCACACACCTCATGTTCGGCCTCGTTGGTGTGAAGACTGCCATCCTCGTAGTCTCTGATAACGGCCCTCGCTGTGAGCTTATGAAGGAACTGAAACACACACACACAAGTGTGTTACAGGTGTGACTGAGACAGTATGATGTTAAGCAGTATAAACAGTGAGGTGTGGATGGTGGTCTCACCGTGCCCCTGGTCTTCTGCAGCTCAGTGGTGGACACCATGGTCTCAATGTCCTGACCACTCAGGTCTCCAAGAAGAGTGGCCTACAGCACCAGACACATGGACAAGTTAGTCTCACAGCGCTGTGTGATCTGTGCATGTCATGTCCACGCACACATTCATGCATTCACACACCAGGGTTTCTGTTAGCCGGTAATAGCTGGCTTTTGGCTGATAAAAAAACGGAAAAGCCGAGAAATAAAATTGCCGCCGGCCAATTGTCCAGGAGAAGAAAAATCCCATTGCAAAAAAAAAGCTTTTTAGCATTGATGGAAATACATTTGACTGGTCATGCTTATCGGTCTATAGGCTAATTTAGTGTAATTATATTGGTGTGTGTGTACAGTATATTCGTTATGTAGGCCTATCTTATTCATCACACACGTTTAGCATACTGATACAGAGCCCTTGAGCGGAAAATCTGTCAGACAGCGCGAGAGCTGCTGCTACAGCATCTCAAACAGCAAACACAGGCAACGGGAGGCAGGTTTCATCAGCGCGTCACACACCACTATGCATTGAGCTGGAGGCTGTATGCATTTAGAAAACATATACTTAAATTGTTTGAAACCTGAATGTTATAATACATATTATGAGGCATGTCTTACCTTGCTTCAAAGTAGCCTAACCAAAATCAGTTTCATTGTCCAGTAGCCAAAGGCAAAATCCTAGTCAACCCATGCTAGTTGTTGCATATTAAATCTCCCCTTTCTAAATTTCGAACGGATATTTTAATCTCTGTCACATGAAACCGTTCGCATGTGCAGTGCCCTTTTGACAACAGTGTTTTCCCGCTAATTGCATTATGGAACGAACATCCGCACATAGAAACAATAGTTTATTAACATTTTAAGCTAAACGTTCTGATCTGTTGCATCAGACTTTTGAAGGTTTATGTAGCCTAGGGCTACTGGTTGTATGAATTTGGGATCTATCGTCCCACAACTGTCCCAGAGTCAGTTTGGAATAGGCCATTTCTTTCTCGACCAGAAGACCAATAGAATAGGTCAACTTTTTTACTATGGGGGGATAGTAGATTGACATAATCTAGTGATTTTGCTATTTGTTTCTGAGGGAACAATTGATGTGGAGTTATTTTAACATCTTCAAACTGTAGTAAGGACTGCACATCGTTGCATCCTCAACTTGCATGTTCTGTTAATATGAATTACTATAATCTAAAATGTGATTTCTGTCATTCTGAGCACTGTGGGTGGACGCCCTAATCAGGTTACACACCCAATACATATGGGTTCTGTACATTTCTCAAATGTCCGGTAAATTAAAATGCTGCCGGTCAAATGTCCGGCACCACATTTTCCTAACGGAAATCCTGGCACACACATACACACACACACCTCAATGACAGTATACCTGTGTACAGTGTTGCACAAAGCCGTAGACCAGGGTGTGGCAATCAGAGAAGAGTGCGTGGAGCTGAGAGGGGGCCTGGACAGGGGGGGATGCTGAGGGGTTAAACTGCTGCCACTTCACAGACACAGAGCTGCAGCCTGGAGACACCATGCGCTTCACCTGACACGCCACCTGACACAAACACGGACGCAAACGGGTGTTTAAAGGGATAGTTCACCCAAGTTGACCTCATGTTGTGTGGTTGAGTTGTGTGGAACCAAAGATAATATCTAGATATCTGATGACAAAGGAGAGATCAGTGTAAAAGTGTGTTGTTACCTTCTCTATCCAGGTGTGCTTTGTCTTTGTGTCAAAGAACTCATAGGCCCCTCCCCCTGCCTGGGCCAGGGCCCGCAACATGTGGCGATTGGCTGTTGGGCTGAGGCCGCAGGTGAAGAGGCGGCTGTGCTGGCAATGCTCTCTGACCAGCTGCATGGTCAGCGCCTGGTTCTGGACGTGGCCGTCTGACAGCAGCAGCAGGTTCCTCACACCCTGCGACGGAGGCAGCAGACTCAGGCTGCGCAGGGGCCTCCACAGCTCGGTGCTGCCCCCAACAGGTTGGGAGGACTAACATCAACAACAGGGGAAAGTATAGCACAGGGAATATTTACATTTACATTTTAGTCATTTAGCAGAAGCCCTTATCCAGAGCGACTTACAGTTAGTGAGTGCATACATTTTCATACTGGCCCCCCGTGGGAAATGAACTCACAACCCTGACGTTGCAAGTGCCATGCTCTACCAACTGAGATACAGGGGAATAAGAACATGACCAAGTACAACATTTACATGGACACGATACACAGCATATAAATAGTTACCTATTTATATGCTCTGAAAAACAATGTGTCCCTAATATTCTAGAGACTAATGATAAAGGATTGTTATTGGCCCCTGGGTCTGTCCGTCAGCACTCACCATGATGAACTTCTTGGCTGGTTTGAGGGCCTCGACTAGAGGGTGGGCAGAGAGGAAAGCCTCCTGCTGGTCTGTAAGACACAACCACATCCAGACAGATGAGTATGGGGGAAAGGCTACAGCCTCTTACTGTCAAACTCTTCAGTCTGACGTAAAGCAAAAAACCAAGTACCCCACTAACAAAGTGTATGCAAACAACATGATACATGAGATTGATTTAGAAGATTTAGAAGTTGATTTAGCTCAGTTTGAAGACTGGTTGAATGGGAGCCCACCTGAGCCAAAGGAGATGACGTTGACTCGGACGCTGTGGTGGTCCAGGGTATTGAGGAGCTGCAGGGCAATTCTCCTGGCATTCTGGAGAGCTTCTCCTCTCATGGACTCAGACGAGTCCAACAGAATGATAACTTCACTGGGGTCAGACATGGAACTGGGGCTGGGCTCAAAGTCTGGGTAGAACACCAACATACAGGCCTGGGGAGAAGGAAAATGTAAAGAGATGGATATGAATGGACAATGAGGGAAGGAGAGATGGAGAGGGATACTGACCAGGCCGTATTTTTGAGGGACAGATGTACAGTATAGAGAGACTGACCTGGCTTTCTTTGTCTGGGTGTTTCTCCACCCACATCCTGGGCAGGTGGATCTGAGCCAGACTGAAGCAGAGCAGGAACCCATCTGGGCCCAGAGTCTCACCTGGACACGTCCTCACCACCGCCTTACAGTCTGTCCTCTGGGGTTAACACAACACACACACTGTTACACACACCTTTACACACGCACGCACATATACGGAAGCACGGACACACACTCAAGCATGCACACACACAGCTCGTTCTGCTGAGTTACCTTGATCTTGACTTTGTGGGTGAGACAGCGCAGGTTGATGATCTCATTGGGCATTTCAATACACATGTCCAGACTGAACGCCCTGAGGAGAGAAAAACAAACAGGTCAGTATGGGGAGAGACAGACAGACACTACAGGTCAGATTGTGGAGAGACAGACAGACACTACAGGTCAGCATGTGGAGAGACAGACAGACACTACAGGTCAGCATGTGGAGAGACAGACAGACACTACAGGTCAGCATGTGGAGAGACAGACAGACACTACAGGTCAGCATGTGGAGAGACAGACAGACACTACAGGTCAGCATGTGGAGAGACAGACAGACACTACAGGTCAGCATGTGGAGAGACAGACAGACAATACAGGTCAGCATGTGGAGAGACAGACAGACACTACAGGTCAGCATGTTGGAGAGAGAAGACACTACAGGTCAGCATGTGGAGAGACAGACAGACACTACAGGTCAGCATGTGGAGAGAAGAAACAGGGGACAGGAAGAGACAGAAGACACTACAGGTCCAGCATGTGGAGAGACAGACAGACACTACATGGTCAGCATGTGGAGAGACAGACAGACACTACAGGTCAGCATGTGGAGAGACAGACAGACACTAAGGTCAGATGTGGAGAGACAGACAGACACTACAGGTTCAGCATGTGGAGAGACAGACAGACCACTACAGGTCAGCATGTGGAGAGACAGACAGACACTACAGGTCAGCATGTGGAGAGACAGACAGACACTACAGGTCAGCATGTGGAGAGACAGACAGACACTACAGGTCAGCATGTGGAGAGACAGACAGACACTACAGGTCAGCATGTGGAGAGACAGACAGACACTACAGGTCAGCATGTGGAGAGACGACAGACACTACAGGTTTTCAGCATGTGGAGAGACAGGACAGACACTACAGGTCAGATGGGAGAGGGACAGACACACAGGTCAGCATGTGGAGAGACAGACAGACACTACAGGTCAGCATGTGGAGAGACAGACAGACACTACAGGTCAGCATGTGGAGAGACAGACAGACACTACAGGTCAGCATGTGGAGGGACAGACAGACACTACAGGTCAGCATGTGGAGAGACAGACAGACAACTACAGGTCAGCATGTGGAGAGACAGACAGACACTACAGGTCAGCATGTGGAGAGACAGACAGGACACTACAGGTCGCATGTGGAGAGACAGACAGACACTACAGGTCAGCATGTGGATGTACCGTAGAAGAGGGAATATCAGAGGTAAATATAAGGATACAGGACTGGTGTCCCCATCCCTCCAGGGCTGGCATAGAGGAACACTCACCCCTGGAAATCCAGGTTGGTCACACACACCTTCTCCAAAGTCACCTGAGAGAGAGACACACAACGACACATGCATGACGCAAACCTGAACACATCATTAATAGCATGTAAATAAATCAATCCATCTATCCAGTCCCTCCTACCTGAGTCCTCTGGTTGAGCGCCGAGCTCTGTTGCCATGGCACCACACTACCGGGCAGCGAGAAGTTGATCAGGCCCTCCATGACGACGAGCTCGGTGACGAAGGTGACTTTGATCAGGACGGTGGCACTGGCAGGCAGGTTCCCAACGCTGATGGTGAACACATCCTGAGGGAACACAAAGATGACATCACCATTATGACTCAAGACATGATAAGAAAGACTGAAACCAGAGATTGTATTTCAACCATAGAATCATCATTACCTGATTTAAAAGAATGATACGAGACCTTAGTCTATCAAGAGCTTGGGACTAAGGTTCTATCTGCATTTTTTCCCTAATTTAGTTATTGACATAGCCTTGTTCTGTTCAATGTTCTCTACCTATATAGTACTCTAAATACCCCAATTCATGTTGTTAAGTTCAAAAGAATACAAGACTTTAAAAAGTTGCTGACACCATTCAAACCAATGAGGGTTCAGAACTTTAAAGCCAATTATCTCAGAATCATCTTTTTGCAGATAGAACCTTATAGTCCCAAACTCTCGATATGACATAGCGTACTAAAGAGAGCACATTCTATTTCCTGGTCAATGTAAAGTAACAAAGTGTGTGTCTGCAGAGAGGTGAGGAGGTAGGGAGAGACGTACAGGTGCATCCTGGTCCATTAGGTAAGCTCCATGGCCTCTCTCTATAGCCTGTTTATACTCTTTACGTGCCTGCTGCTTCTCCTTCACCTGGGACAGAGGGACATAACAGCTCACAACACAATACTACACATGCAGAACGGATCACTGTGTGCTGCTGAGAGGGTGGGGGTGAATTACCTGTCCCACTACATGCTTCCCATTGATGAAGGCCTCAAAGCCACACACAGCAGCAGAATCATCCAATGGGAAGACGTATTTGGCTTCGATGGGGGCTGTTCTCTGATTGGTGTATGTCTGGAAGATGATGACCTGGTAGCCAATAAGAGAGAGGCCTGTTACTGAGGGACTTATGTCATGGTACAATAAAGGTAAACAGTCCAGTCCAGTCAAGTAAAACTCAGTGATGTTTGCTCCAGTCCAATCCAATCCAGCCCATTCTATTCCAGTCCAATCCAGCCCATTCCATTCAAGTCCAGTCAATTCCAATCCAGTCCAATCCAGCCCAGTCAAATCAAGTATAGTCCAGTGGTACCTGGCAGAGCAGATCCATCAACTTGGCCCTGACGTGGACGGCCTGTAGAGGGAGTGGTTGTCCAGAAGTGTCCAGCAGGCCGGCAGTCACCTCCTCTAGAGGGTTTTTACACCTCCCAACACCCTCCTCATCCTCACCACAGGACACTACACACAGACAGGTCATCAATAACAGCCTCAGAACAAGCAAAAGTACATATTCTAAATCTAGTCTATATTGTTGCTCATTGACCTTCCTATTCCCTTGTTAATTGGGTCTGCTGTTGACGTACGGTCCTGTGTTTGTTTGTATGTTTATGATAAAGAGTTGTTGAATTGAATTCTTACAGAGGTCAGAGGGAGAGACAGGAAGTGGCAGCACGGTAGAGGAAGTATCTATGGTGGGCTGGAAGTCTTTCAGCTGGTCCTCCTCCAGTCTGAACTGAACCACATACTGCAGCCTCACCTGCTCCGGGCTGTACACGACGTACTCTTCATCCTGGAACACACACACATATATATATACACATCAGTAACACACACAGACACCATCCCACACGATCTAAACATTACAATGTCAGCATTAGCACTGAACAAATACAGCCAGGTACAGAATATAAAAAGGGTGACCTCAAACTCAGAGGGTGTCTTGGGGGTACAGCGGACCCCATGTACACTGTGGTATCCCTCGGGGGCGTGAGTCAGGCTGCTGTCCCTCTTCTGGAGGTCCGTACAGCGCCCCAACGCCACGTCACACACCAGCAGCAGCCGACTGCCGTCCGTCACACTGGGCTTAGAGTACCTCAAACTGGTACTGAGGATACACACAGAGAATACAATGACAATATTCACACTGTTGCTGATAACTTATCTGGCATATGATGTTGTCTACTGACCTCATTGAATCACTGAAATAGATGCCACCGCCCAAATTCCCAATGTCTGTTCTCTCAATTCCATGATGCTCCACTCCAACCCTGGGCAGTAACAGACCCCTAGAGACAGAGAATTGAATTGATAATATACCACGTCAGTGATGTACAATATGTCAAACTCAGGTGTGTGTGGGTGTGTGTGTTCACCGAGACAAGATCCCCACAAAGCTGCTGGGGCTAGAGGAGTGGAGGAGGGGCTTAATGTTTCCAAGCCCCTCCCTAAACATCTGTAGCTCCACCTCTCTGCTTACTTTCAGAACCTGCAGGATCTGCACCTGTCTGTAGGAGAGAGATGGAGAGAGTTAGGCACGCACGCCCGCGCGCACACACACACACACACACACACTGCAGTGGGTCTGTACCTGTCCTGTAGCAGTTCGGTGACAGACAGAAACTCAGGACCAGGGGGAACTCTTTCAATGCTGCACCTCAGGGCGCGGTACTTCCCGAGACAGGAAGGGGCAGTGCTTCTCAGCGTGACCTCGCTGACATTCAACACATCTCTGATTAACTACAACAGAGAGTCGTGTTAAACACGCAGTTCATTCTTGTTCTCTTCTTCTTTCAAAAAAGATGAGAATGGAGAGACGTCCTCCTCACATTTTTCTTTTTATTTAAACAGTTTAGAATAAAGATGTAGGGGTCTATTTTATTGGGGAGAAAGTCAATAATTGGTTGGTAGAGTGCAGCACTACCCTGTGCAGTACTCATTCTGCTAAAAAAGAACATGGTGTTTGTGTGTGTGTGTTACCTGGCAGAGGTCCAGCTGTGATGAGATAAGTTTAGTGTGGACGGGGAGGCGGGACAGGTCCGTTTTGTGGGGCAGGAGGGTGTAGACCTCCTCCATCAGCGAGACCACCTCAGTGTCTGGCCCCTCCCCCTGTCTCAGCCTCCTCTGGACCTGTAGCAGCAGCCCTTCAGCCCTGCTCACCTACACACAACAACAACACAGCTTTAGTGAACACAAGCACTCAGACACCAACAGACAGACAGATAGACAGGTTAATACAGTATGCATTATGAACAGTGAGAGCCAACCACATCTCACTTACATCGTTGAGACTGAGGCTGGTGAATGGAACCTTGAGGACGTTGTCCAGACAACCAAGGGCCTCTGCCCAGAGCAGCTCCACGAACACACCCACTTCCTGTGATAGGGTGCTGCAGCTCAGCTTCTCCTCCAGCAGCAGCTGTAAATTATAACACATGTTAATCAACCACCCCTGACTGCCAATCACAGCACTGATTACTATACTACAGTGCAGAATCACATAATCTAAATCTCACAGTGGGGTGCCAACATCTATTAGGTTATTTCTCAGGAAATGGGTCGAAAAGTGCAAATCTGATATAATATGTCATGTCTGTCTGTATTTTAAGAGACTGTGTGTCTATACATTAGGGGGAGTGTCTGACCTGCTGCAGGCTGGCAGAGCCCAGGTCCGGAACCTCTGGAGGGAGGGTGGTCCTCAGTGTGAGGCCTCTGACCTGCAGCTCCTTCCTGAGAGTCTGATAGACCTTCACAGCCTCCTCTGAGACAGAGAAGAACACCTGCTTGTCTTGCACAGCTTCTGACTGACAGACAAACAGAGGACAATTCACAGTTTAACCTCAAATTCATAATCTCCAGAATCATACCAGGGTCCACATACTGTATGTGAAAACAGCCATTTTCTACATTCTGTGGTCAAGGCATAGAGGGATAATTCACCCAAATCATAATCGTACCTCATTTTATGGATAACTAGCCAATGGATCCCAGTGAATCAATGACCTAAGACATGAGCTCACCTTAGCACCATGGTCCTCTCTCCAGTACCTCACTACACGGTACTGCTGCTGTCCTCCCTTTCCTCTGCTACTCTGCAGCTCCAACACCGACCATGTGCTGCTGTTAGCCTAGAAAACACACAGGTACACACGCCGTATAGTATGATACACATACACTAAACAACCAGGTAAAGACAGGTATGTCACAAAACAGGATCAGCAAGTAAAGATGACGTGAGCTAAATACACTGTATGACGTCTATGGGTGGTCTTACCTTTTCAAAAATGGAGTATTTGGCCACTTGGAAATGTGTTGGATATGTTGGAAGATCATTGTCACTTTCAGTGTACACTCTAAATGAAAATAAAAACACAAAACTAATCATGTAGCTTGTTACTACATTACTGTAGGTCAATTACATGGGTTGCATACAACAAATAGATAACCTAGGTTATTCAATTTGTTAGTACTCTGGTATAAGGCCTGTGTAATCTAATGTGAGGCCATGACAGGTTATAGTCAGGAGGGAAGGTATGACATATACTGTAGTCCAGCAGTGATTGGCAGGTGAGTGTACAGTAGGTACACACTTGAATTTGCCCAGGTAAGTTCCAGTTCTCTTTGGATTCTTTGCCCTCTCGGCTTGATTGACAGCATTCAGAGTGAGTGACTGAACTTCAGACTTCTGTTCTGCAGCCGGCTGGCTCGTCACCTTCAGAACTTTAAACACACACGACACACACAGTACACACCCTCTGTCAAAGTCCAGTTCTTTTTTAAATGACACAAACACACACACCCTTGTCAAAAGAGCATCATTTTTCAAACACATGACAACATATGCAAAGACACACCAATAGTGAGCACACGGAGCCTTTATCAGTTAAGACGCAACTGTTAGCAAAAGCAGCCTCCTGATTAACTCAAGACTCTGCTCTGGGTAAATGAGTCAACATGTTGTCTATGGAGACACCCCCATTGTGATTGTGTCAAAGGAGAATGCCTAAAGATGATAAACCCTTGCTCTGCTTGCTGTATGCGCAAGACGCTTTCCGTGGGAAATATACATGCCTGAATTCAAGGGAATGGTGGCATAATTTTTGTGTAACTTTGTATATATTTTTTTACCAATAAAGCATATAGGAATTTGGGACAATGTCAGAGTTGTGGACCTTAGAAGAGGAAAAGTTTGGTTTCTACCTGACTGAGAGGGAGAGGGTGAGGCCGGTCTGGGTGTGAAGAGAGAGGGAGGGGTAGAGGGAGGGGTAGAGGGAGGGGTAGAGGGAGGGGTAGAGGGAGGGGTAGAGGGAGGGGTAGAGGGAGGGGTAGAGGGAGGGGTAGAGGGAGGGGTAGAGGGAGGGGTAGAGGGAGGGGGGGAAAGGCGGTACTCCTCTACAGGCAGCAGGACTCCCTTTTCCAGGCAGCGTGACACATACTCCACCCCTACTACTGGAATTTGGTGCTTCTTCACATTCCGCACCCGGCTGGAGCTCAGACTGGACACGCTGCTTGTCACTATCAGAGTGCACTGTGGGGGAGAGAGAGAGGTGGGGGAGGAAGGAAAGGAGGAAGGGGAGGGAGAGAGAGTATGAAAGACAGAAAGCATCAATCCCTCCAACATGTTTTAATCTGACCAATGAAGGTGAGATATTCAAGTGTTTCTGTGTCACTATCAACCTGACCTGTTTATTGACCACATAGGAAATGCTGCCCCCATTCTCTGTTATTGCCAGCTTCAGTCTCTTCTTCTCCTTATAAGGCACATTCTTCAGCTCCAAAACCACAGAACAGTTGTCAAACAGAGCCATAGCTACCTGAATAAATGAAGTAGGCTATTAAATTATAAGAAACACATTTTAGTCTCACTTTTATGCATTTGAAAGTAAATGAGCGCAAACATTGTAATATACGCTCTCTTGTCAAGTTGACATGGTGTACAAGTAACTACAACCTGTTTGTCAAATGAAAATCGAAGCAGATGCGTACTTTCTTCACCATGGAGTGGAGTTTAGGTCGTTAATGCGTAGGTACCCCAACAATGCTACACATTCAAATCTGTATAGAACATCTGTAGCTAACTATTTTACCGTAAACTCGAGTAGACGTCCGACTATTGCTTTCTTGCAGTGTTGAGAACATTACACTCAGAAAAATACGAGGTCAATCTTCAGGTCTGAAAGTCGGAGCTCTAGAAAGAGGCCCGAGTTCCAGAGTTAGAATTCCGAGTTGGATGACCTTTCAAATCAAATTTTCCCAGTCGGAACTCGTTTTTTCCGAGTTCCCAGTTGTTTTGAACGTACTGAAGTAGGAAGTAGGAGATTTCCGAGTTCCCAGTTCTTCTTCGATGAGGTTTAACAGCGGTTGGCATCCCGAGTTCCCAGTTGTTGCTACTTCCAGGTACAGAACATAACGACACGCCCACTTACGCGAGAGCGACATATAACTGCCCTCTGTAGGCGTAAAAAATAAATGCCACTGCACAAGACTATCACAGAAAGAAAGAGCCAGATGTCTTACCGCTCGCTGGGTGTATAAATCTGAAGCATCCTTTTAGAACTGCTTCTCACCACCAAATATGGTGATGAACATTGTTTTATGTCAGATAGCCAGGGCCGGCGCGCCCATTAGGAAGAATTACAGGGCGTATAGACGTCTATGGTATAGACTATACAGCGATAAACTGCGGCTTCGGCCGCCCAGAGGAGAAGGGGGCAGCTGCATCCCAATATGGCGACCGCAGTATGGGCGAGTGAGGGGAGGTATAACATGGTCCCGGTTCAAGGGATATCACAGGATAGAAAATCCCATAGAGCCCCACAGTGGAGGTGTCATAATACCCATAAAAACTAGCGCTCAAACAGGGAAATGGTTCCAATCATTTTTCCACCATTCATTTTTCCCATAGGAGATTTTAGAAACACTTAAAATAAGGGCTGTGTTTTGTGTAGGCTAACCCTGGCGTGACATTTTGATACATTTTGTAAATCTCTTTCGGACAAAGTGACTTTTATCAATTTACTCTCAGGTAAAAAAAAATGCTAATTAGCATCAAAGTAGACATGTAAGTCTACAAATCCCTGCAACTCCTGCATTTCATCTCTAGCTGACACCTTTGCTAACAGGTATTGTGTCAATTTAAAACTTGCCTAAGACAGTTCACAGAATTGTCCATTTAAAGAAATGTAGCCAATTTATTCATTACTAAAAAAAAAATTTGTTGGTATTTTACCCCCTTTTTTCTCCCCAATTTCATGGTATACAATTGGTAGTTACAGTCTTGTCCCATCGCTGCAACTCCTGTACGGACACAGGAGAGGCGAAGGTCGAGAGCCGTGCATCCTCCGAAACACAACCCAACCGAGCAGCACTGCTTCTTACATTTTACATTTTAGTCATTTAGCAGACGCTCTTATCCAGAGCGACTTTACAGTTAGTGAGTGCATACATTTTCATACTGGCCTCCCGTGGGAAACGAACCCACAACCCTGGCGTTGCAAGCGCCATGCTCTACCAACTGAGCTACAGGGGACTACAGGGCCCGCTTAACCCGGAAGCCAGCCGCACCAATGTGTCGGAGGAAACACCTGGCGACAGAGTCAGCGTGCACTGCGCCCGGCCCGCCACAGGAGTCGCTAGTGCGCGATGGGACAAGAACATCCCTGCCGGCCAAACCCACCCCTAACCTGGACGACGCTGGGCCAATTGTGCGCCGCCCCATGGGTCTCCCTGTCGCGGCCAGATTCATTACTACATTTAGCTAACATTAGATAGCTAATCCAGAGATTCTTACCTTTGCCTCTCATCCAGATCATCATGGCATTTGTAGTTCTTTATGATAGCCACATTAGCAGCTAATTAGAATTTCATTTGTTGGGGGTAAATAAAGGCGAATATATTGATAAAATTCATATATATATACTGTATATTGCCTCCTAATATTGTATAATCTGTGTGTCGTTTCATTAGCCTGGGTTTTTGTTTGTTTGAATTCAAGACCAGATTGATCTTCGTTTGTCAGAGTAGCCACTCATTTTGGTCATTTGTGTGGTATTAAAGAACATTCAGCTAATGTCTTCTGTCATGTAAATGATGTAGCATTGCATTAAATTCATTTTTTTTATTTCAATTTTTTTCAGGACCATGCTAACAAATGTTCCCCATGTGTGGAAATCCTAAAAACACCTCTGCTCAACTGTAGCCTATGCCACATCATTTTTTATTTATTATGGCTTTATTATACATTTGAAGGGGTTGATTTCTTAATCTGTCCCTTTCGGCCCCAGTAATGTACTGGGCCGTAGGCATTACCCTCTGTAGCGCCTTGCGGTCAGATGCCGAGCAGTTGCCATATCAAGCGGTGATGCGGACAGTCAAGATGCTCTCAATGTTGCAGCTGTAGAATGTTTTAAGGATCTGAGGGCCCTTGCCAAATCTTTTCAGCCTCCTGATGGGGAAGAGGTGTTGTCGTGCCCTCTTCATGACTGTGTTGGTGTGTTTGGACCATGATAGGTCCTTAGTGATGTGGACACCGAGGAACTTAAAGATCTCTACCCGCTCCACTACAGCCCCGTCGATGTGAATGGGGGCGTGTTCGGCCCTCCGTTTCCTGTGGTCCACGATAAACTCCTTTGTCTTGCCCATGTTGAGGGAGAGATTGTTGTCCTGGCACCACTCTGCCAGGTTTCTGAGCTCCTCCCTATATGCTGTCTCATTGTCGTCGGTGATCAGGCCTACCTGTGATGCTGCCACAAGTGTGAGGTGATAGGCACATAGAAATATAATTATGTCTGGTTTAAAGTTTTTAAAAACCTTGCAAGGTTAAACCTTTATATGTATTTTCATTTTCATACTGTTATATTATGTATTTGCCAGCTCTGACTGTGTTATTTGTACTGGCAAAGCTAAGATGGCCACCATTGTCCTTGTGGTGGACTATCCCTTTAAGAAGGCATGTCCCTTTAAGAATAGGAGGGCAGTTTGGGGAAATGTTTGGCATGTACCTGGCTGAGGTTCTTTTTCTGTGGACAACCTTTTAAGCAGCCAAGATTAACCATTCAGAGGGAATAATTTTTGCTCATTATTGTGGATTTTTACTCCTGTGACAAAGGATTCCTGTGTTGTCGGTTTTGGAGGATGCCATGAAATTGTACCCGTTGTAAGGAAATCGCGATCAGGCCAGATATCCCTCTCATGCAACAATCTGGTGAGATCTATCCTGTTGTAAAATTCTCTAGATCCAAACTGTTACAGACCTATATCCATCCTGCCCTGCCTTTCGGAAGTTTTTGAAAGCCAAGTTAACAAACAGATCACCGACCATTTCGAATCCCACCGTACCTTCTCCGCTATGCAATCCGGTTTCCGAGCTGGTCATGGGTGCACCTCAGCCATGCTCAAGGTCCTAAATGATATTATAACCGCGATCGATAATAGACAGTACTGTGCAGCCGTCTTCATCGACCTGGCCAAGGCTTTCGACTCTGTCAACCACCGCATTCTTATTGGCAGACTAAATAGCCTTGGTTTCTCAAATGACTGCCTCGCCTGGTTCACCAACTACTTCTCAGATAGAGTTCAATGTGTCAAATCGGAGGGCCTGTTGTCTGGACCTATGGCAGTCTCTATGGGGGTGCCACAGGGTTCAATTCTCGGGCCGACTCTTTTCTCTGTGTATATCAATGATGTCGCTCTTGCTGCTGGTGACTCTCAGATCCACCTCTATGCAGACGACACCATTTTGTATACATCTGGCCCTTCATTGGACACTGTGTTAACAAACCTCCAAACGAGCTTCAATGCCATACAACACTCTTTCCGTAGCCTCCAACTTCTCTTAAATGCATGCTCTTCAATCAAACGCTGCTGGCACCTGCCCACCCGACTAGAATCACTACTCTCGGGGGTCTGACCTAGAGTATGTGGACAACTACAAATACCTAGGTGTCTGGTTAGACTGTAAACTCTCCTTCCAGACACACATTAAGCATCTCCAATCCAAAGTTAAATCTAGAATTGGCTTCCTATTTCGCAACAAAGCCTCCTTCACTCATGCTGCCAAACATGCCCTCGTAAAACTGACTATCCTACCGATCCTTGACTTCACCTCCAACACTCTACTCAGCAAATTGGATGTAGTCTATCACAGTGCCATCCGTTTTGTCACCAAAGCCCCATATACTACCCACCACTGTGACCTGTACGCTCTTGTTGGCTGGTCCTCACTACATATTCGTCGCCAAACCCACTGGCTCCATGTCATCTATAAATCACTGCTAGGCAAATCCCCGCCTTATCTTAGCTCATTGGTCACCATAGCAACACCCACCCGTAGTATGCGCTCCAGCAGGTATATCTCACTGGTCATCCCCAAAGCCAACACCTCCTTTGGCAGCCATTCCTTCCAGTTCTCTACTGCCAATGACTGGAACGAACTGCAAAAATATCTGAAGCTGGAGACTCTTATCTCCCTCACTAACTTTAAGCATCAGTTGTCAGAGCACCTTACCGATCACTGCACCTGTACACAGCCCATCTGAAATTAGCCCTCCCAACTACCTCATCCCCATATTGTTATTTATTTTGCTCATTTGCACCCCAGTATCTCTATTTGCACATCATCTCTTGCACATCTATCATTCCAGTGTTAATACTACATTTTAATTATTTTGCACTATGGCCTATTTATTGCCTTACCTCCATAACTTGCTACATTTGCACACACTGTATATATATTTTCTGTTGTATTTTTGACTTTATGTTTTGTTTACCCCATATGTAACTCTGTGTTGTTTTTATCGCACTGCTTTGC